AGAGAGAGAGAGAGAGAGAGAGAGAGAGAGAGAGAGAGAGAGAGAGAGAGAGAGCGATAAAGAGAGAGAGGCAGGGATTTGGTCGCACACGCAGCGACAAATAGGCTTTTATTTGCTGCTCTGAATGCCTCCAGCCAATTATAAGAATAATTTAAATAAATCTGATCTGCAAAGAGGTGACTTTCTTGTTATTAAAGCACTGGTGTTTCCCGCACTATAAAATAACTAGTTCAAGTGTCCGACGGAAATTCGGAGTTATCGAATCATCTGCCTGAATGAGGTTTGCAAACTTTGGCAAATCATTTTTAAAGATAAAAAAAAATAAACAATGATATGGAAAGGAGAATATTGGCCGTACCTTCCGTTCGTTTCCAAAACGCTGCGATGCTGAGAAGCGTCGGTCAGCGGCAGGGGGGATCTTTGGACATCACAACTCCTGCTCAGCAGAAGAGAAAACGCTTCCATCCACACTGGTTCCAGCCAGATCACCCACTCAGCCAAGGAGAAAGGGGGGTCCGATGGACATCCAAAACACAAGGACAGAGATGTTGTTTCCTTATTATTATTATTGTTAAATATTGGAACAAAGTGCGCCTTTTTTGCGCAGATATGACTTTGCGGGCTTGGAATAGTGGAAACGGAGGGTGTACATTTAAAACAACATAAATAAAACCTGTTCGGACAGATCAGCCAAAAGACATCCTCCTCCTCATACTTTTTCTTTTCCTTCTCCGTCTATATATTTTTACGCAAACGTTGCCAAATTTTCCTAATCCTCTCCTGGTTGCTTGGCCATCCCAAACGCACACGGCGGTGCGATCCCCGCGGAGATGAGCGAAAAAAAAAAAAGAAAAAAGGAATGGATGGATGTAATCGGTAGATCCAATGAGGAGGGGGAGGAAGGAAGGGGGTGGGGGTCCTCCAAAGCTCCGCTGTGTTAGTTTCAATGCTCACGACGAGAGGAAGCTCTTCTCGGTCCTAGTGCACCGTCTCTGCTGGTCCACACACACACACACACACACACACACACACACACACACACACACACACACACACACACACA